GCTGCTGTGTTCTCTGGAACACGGGGAAACATTCCCTATTTTGTCTCCTTTCTCCCTTCTCCCCCCACTGCTTTTCAAACCACAAATGAGAGCATGTGAAGCCTCAATCCCCTTGCCTGGCTTCCTACTTCACTCAGAAGAGATGTGAGTCAGCCAAGCCCAAGCCTCCGGCCCCTGGCTGCGTTCTGACGCCGGGCTCCATTGCTCCCCTGACTCCAGGCCTCCCTGCAGGTCTGAGAACCTCCTGAGGCATCTGCTGCCTCAAGCTTCGCGTCCCTGCTTGGAAAGGCCTGTGCTGGGGCCGCACCCACCCTCATTGAGGAGTTTCCTCAAATGTCGGCTCAAGTCACCGTTCCCACTATGACACTGGAAAAGGTCCTGGCCTCCATTCCTGTCATTGTTTTTGTATTCAGCTTTATTTTTTTTGTAATACTTACCACTGGACAGCAGGAGTCTGTGACGTGTCTCTGTGTTCTCCTGAGTGGAATCTCTGGCTCGGCGGGCACGGGGCGGAGCATCGGTGCTGAATGGCCCGTCGCTTTTTGCCTGATGCAGCCTCTCTTGCCCTCCTCGTGCCCTCCCACCCAAGGCCCTGCACCGTGGCCCCTGCTCATGCTCTGCTCGCAGCAGGGACTGGTCATACTCACCTGCGGGATGACATTTTCAATAGGCCGGTATACAAAGAGAAGCTTCAGGAGAAAAGGACAGATCTTCCAGCCAAACAGCCGCTGCCACACTCAGGAGGGGAGTCCTCTCAAAGAGAGGGCTCCGCAGGGCATCCCTGGTTGTATAATGACCACGTCCTGAACTGAGAAAGGAGCAGGAGTCACGGCATGGTGACTTTCTAGTGAGGCAGTGTCTTAGCAAGTCAAGAAATCCCTGTGTGAATGCCTGTAAAGGGTGAGGAATAAACGCACGTGGAGAGCCTTCAGATGCACTGTTGTACCTTTATTATTTTTACCTCGTTCACTAAGAGTTCCGTGATGCAAGGTTACCACACAGTTAGATAATGTTTGCATTGCACATCTAAGGCTATACAGCAAAAGAACCAGAATTAGTACAAATACAAGAACTATATTTACATTCTGTATACTCAAGCTCCAAACATCAGATAATATTTACATAATAAAACATGAAAATGAAAATCTGAAATTAATAATGTACATTGTTGCTAATGTGTTCAACTCCTTCACTGGGGAGAGATCAGTTTGCAAAGTCTTAGTTCAGAAAGGCCACTTATGCTTCATGGGTTTTGTTGGTGCACAAGGATGTGGACGGGAGACCTGAAGTCTTAATGGACAAGAGCTTTGGAGTGACGACGTCTAAGGAGGTGCCTCAGACGTGAGGGCTGATGGAGTTTCTCGGGGAACTGGGGCCAGAATGCGCAGCATGAAAAACGAACTGGAAGACATGAACGCAACACACGACAGCCAGGGCTTCGCAGAGACCACCCTCAGCTCCATTTCATCGAGCACGGCCGATCAGCTCGGTCGGCGGTGACTTTTAACAGGAAATTTGTATCAATTCCAATTTCTCCCTTTAAGCGATTAGAGGCTTTCCAAAGATTTTGTGGAACTCAAATACGAATTTCATAAATGGCCTTTTGAACAACAACAGACAGTCTCTCAGTGGAGAGTTCAACTGACTAAGGACGCACACCGGTGCCCACTGAGGACAGCCATGCCTGGCCACACGCCAGGTGCAGGGACAGCCACGGGCGCACAGGTCCAACCCCAAGCCCACCAGCGGACCTTCTGAGAGCAGCAGCAGGATTAGTCTTTTCCTTGTAAGAAGGTTAACAATCACATTTTAAAAAGGGAGGCAGAAGGAAATGAAGACGCAAGTCAAACAAACAAACAAACGAACAAGTGAGTCTGAAACCGTCCAGGAGAACCGAGCGAGCCCAGCACCAGGAACACACAGGTGCCGGTGGGTGCCACCTGCTGGGTCATCCTTTCTTGTACAGTCGTTGTGCAATTAATTACAGCTGTATAGAAATATACATATACCTTACAAAATTAAATATCCCTGTAAATTAGCAAACAAGCAACAGGCAACAAAGTCTTTGCTTTGAAGTATGTGCCAGAAGAAGCCATTTGACTTTTAGATCCCAAAAGACTTTCACAATGACTTAATTTATATTATTTCTTCATCTTAAAAGAGCTGGGGGGGGGGACCCATGGGGAATATGCATGGTTGTGTGAATTCCATGTGGCTGAAGGAAGAATATGTATCAAATAGGAGTGGTTTCTCTTGGGGGGAGAACTCTTCCTTGGCCTTCACCACACTTTAACATTGTGCTGGAATTTGGGTGCCCACCCAGCTGCCCGAAAATAGCCCGTCCCTGTGTCCCGGCTGTGTGCTGGGCTGGCTGACCCCCACAGCCTGCCTGAGAGCTGACTGACTCCCAGCAGACGCAGAGACGAGGGCGTGGCCCGGTGTGGTGTGGGCTGAGGCCATATTCTGCTCCGGTAGGAGAAAGGCTGATGGAGGGGGCAGGCAGTTGGTTTTAATTCGAAATTATTTCTCTTTAATTTGTGTAAGAGTTTTTTTTTTTTTTTTGCTTTATTTATTTATAGTTTATTTAAAGAAGTATTTTAGGAAAAAATAAATTAAAAACCCTCAAGAGATGCTTTTCTTAAAGGTCCAGTTCCTCAGCTTTCCTGCCATTTTAATTTTTGCTAAAGCCCCATAGGTAGTTCCTGCCACAAACCCGCTCAGACTTCCGAGTGGGGTGGGCCTGGGGGGGAAGGGCCTGGCAATCCTGAAACTGTTCCAACTCCCATCTGAGGAAAGAGGGGGTACCTGCCCGCCACAGCAGAGGCTTCTTTGGCGGCCGGGGCCCATGTGGGCCGGGAACCCTGCTTCCTCCCCGGGCCTTCTCACCTGGGTGCGTCACGGGACCGTCCAGTCTAGCCTGTTCTAACATCGATGCCTCCAAAGCAAAGACTTTCCAAGCCAGTTTTGTTTCAGTTAGAAGAAAACACAAAGTCGTTGCAGTGTCTCACTGGACTTCACGCTCCCTCGGCCTCCCCACCCCCACCGCCACAGGCCTCGTTCCTTCCACCAGACTTCACAACAGCAGCAGCAGCAACTGTGATTCAATTTTAAAGATAACCTTCAAATTTCATCTTCATTTCCCTGAAATTAGATTTTATTCCCGTCCAGGAAGCCATCTCTGAGATCCTGGTTTGAGTATACACCAGAAGGGCATATTGTATCCCTCAGACAATGAAGAAACCTCTAACTACATTAAAAATCTCACATACCACTCAGAAAAGAAACAGCATTACAGTTAGTGACCTATGTTTTAAGGAGAGAAAGAACATTTTAAAAATTCACAATAGAGTTTTACTGACCACTTTTCAGATAAGGTCAGCCTGTGGTTTCTCTCAGTGAGCTCTCCATGACTCCTTTCCTCCTCTTTGCAAGGCAATTCTAACGAGCAAAGCTGGGCGATGAGTCCAACAGGAAATCAGAAACAAGGGTCTGGGTCCAGACCACGAGTGTGCCTAGCAACTACTCTGCAGAGAGAGGGCACAGCCCTTGACCTTTGTTGCCTGAGCAGAAGGTCATCCAGTTCCCCATCACCTGAGTCAGCAACCTCCAGGCCGAGGATCTCAGTCACCCACAAAGTGGGACGGAGCAGCTACCTCCTGAGCCTGAGGTAAAAGGATGGCACAACCACCAAGCCACGGAGGGACCTGGAGGCCTCCTTTCTCCAGGTCATTCCTGTAAAGCCCATCGACAGCTGGAGGAAGAGGAGTATCTTCCATGGACACAGGGGTCCCTGGTCTGTCAGAAGAGGAGGCTCTCGACAGCGCGCGTCCTCCTTTCTCCTCCGGCGATATTTCCACACCGGATGGAGATAACCAAGGAGGTGAGGCAGGACGGACACCGCCACCAGCCATGGGGGCCAGGGCTTGGGACTCTTCTCTGCCCCCAGGTGTCCTTTGAGAGGTGGTGGGGGTCAGCCTGAATCCTGGGGTCCAGCAAGCAAAGCCTGTGGGTGTGCTTATTTGAGCACGGAGACAAGCTTCGTCCAACAAGCATCACCGAAAACGACCACTGAGTTCAGAGGGGGCTTCCAAGTTCGCACTTAAAAGCTAAGTCTCTTGGGGCATAGTGAATCACAACCACCACAATCAGCATCCTCGGCATCCACAGCCCTCAAGTTCATCTCGGGAGTGAAACACGCCCTCTGGCGGGACATCCGGGTATGACATTGCACTGATTTCCAGGGGAGGAGAGCAGCTCCCAGGAGCCCTGTGAGGATCTACAGGCCTCCCACTGGCTGACGCCTCCATGGCCACCGCCAAGCCCTAGCGTCCTCAGAAATCCACAGGCAATAAGCCCTCCACTCTCCCTTCTACCAGCCAACAGCAGCCAGTCCCAGTCTACTTACAAGTCCTCGTTTTCTAGGTGGAAAGTACATAACCACATTCTAAATAAGCCTCAATTTCAAAGACTATACCCATCCCCTTTCTACACCCACCATCACTTCTCCCTGCATGAAAAATACAGGGATTAGCCCTGGTGAAAGAGACAGAAGGGATACAGGTATGTTTTTTCCTCTCAAGTTCCAAAAAAGCCAGAAGTCTCTTCCGTTAGTCTCTAAGCCACCCAAGAATAATTAAAGTGACTTTACAAATGGTGAAATGAAAAGAAGTATTATGTTGTCCTGAAAAAGAGACAAAGGTATCCAAACACAGCAGTACAGACACCAGGGGTGGTCATATTGGGGACCTATCATATAAAAGGAAGCCAAAGTACACCAAAAAATAAGTGGAGATTCGCTGGATCCCCTCTGAGCCTTTTTGTTTGCTTGTCCCCCCACTTCTGTTAGGTCACATGCTACTAACAGGATTTTCAGCACAGGAAAAAAGTACAGAGCAATGAAGGTGGGGACAGGAGAGCTAGAAAAGTGCCGGACAAGGAGGGCGCGTAGTGAAGCCACAGGATCACATACAAGAGTAACCGTCAAGAATCACAACGAGAAATGAGAGGTAACACTTTCTTTATCTCTCGGAAGGCGAGTGAGGGCGCTCAGCAGTGGCTTAGTACTTCGGCTGGCTCGGGCATCTGCGGGAGAGCTTTGACCTGGGGGATAGACGGGGGGGCTGGTCAGAAAGCTGGGCCCAGGAGGTCCTCCCTCGGGGCCAGCTCCTCTATGGCTTCTCCTGGAGTGTCCCGGGGACCCTGCCCAAGCAGCTGGAGGCAGTCATCCCCCTTCTGGGGACATGGGAACAAAAGCCCTTCATGGATGAGGGCAAAATGTGGGGAGACAGCTTCCAGTCTTCCCTTCACTCAGCCCACAGATCCCAGCCACGACCCCCCAAGGACAAAGTATCAAAGCAGGAGATTATCCAGTTGCCAGTCAGCATCTCTGCAGCCATTCAGAGCCTCAGATGACACCTCATGAGAAGCCGAGGCCTCATCACCACCCTAAACCCCACTTCCACCCACCCTGCCTCAATTTTAAACCTGTTTGAACAATACTTCTTTCCCTATTTATGTTGCTGTCAGTCCCTAGAGCCAAGGAGAGAGGCAATGCCTGAGCAGCTTCTCACCTTATTGTGCCGGCGAGGAGGGGGTTAAAGGCGTACAACCAGTCGTTCAAGTCTTTGTCGTTGAGAGCCTGCAGGAGGACCCCACGGTGCTTGGTGCACACAGCAAAGGTGTTAGGTGTCTGGAAGAGATTCAGGTAGGCTGCATCACTGCAGAGCCCGAAGGCGGAGGGCACGCAGCACTCCCGGGATCACAGTCAGCACCTCCGGCCCGCAACACACACAGACTCTGGAACCCACAGGGAAGGGCGGGTGTGGCCGCGGCGGCTGGGGGCAGGACTGACCTTCAGCATGGCTTGCTGGTCCTCACTGTATTCCACCTGCGCCGTGGACAGATTGATGATGCCCCGCTCCACAGGGTCTTTGTCACTGTTGTAGATGAAGACGTACGGGCGACGGACCACCACGAAATGCTTAGCCCAGTTGCTGGAAAGCGGCTCCTTGAAGTGCAGGTAGCCTTTCTTCGAGACCACAGAGCTGGAAAGTACAAGAGGGGTCAGTTTCTCACAGAAAGGCAATGCTCGTGAGCTGAGGACTGTGAAAATAGGTCTCACTGTGGCCAAGTCTCCAGACTGAAAAAAACCGGCAAATGAACTATCTGGTATAGACTCTTATCTGTAACCTAGCAGAAAGCATGCAGCACCACCGCCAGGCTCTGCCCGGGACATACAGGAGCTTCACCTGGCCTACAGCCAGGCCCAGTGCTGGCCCCAGGTTCCAGGACTCCAGACAGCACAGGCCACACGAGGAGAGCTGGCCGTGAACCCCTCTTGCCAGTCTGTTTCCAGCCTGAAACACCGCCATGCAAGGGAAAGGCACCAGCATGTCAGCGGTTTGTCATACTGTGAAAAGATCACCACCAAGGTTCGGCTACCATCCACCTCCTCACGGATAAAATGAAGGAAAAGGACAATTTTCTTCTTGTGGTGAGAACTCTTAGGATGCTCTCTTAACTTTCTCATATAAAGGGGAGCAATGTTTATAGAGTCTTTTTAATAGCCTATGATTTGCCTTTATACCCAGTACCCCCAGTCAATATAATACTCACCCTGGTCTAATTTCTTCAATATCTGGAACAAGATTGAGAAATTCATTTTTTCCTGCACGGGCCAAAAAGGGCGTTTCCACAGCAGGGACAATCTGAAACTGTTCATATTCTGCGCAGGGGCTAGAGGCCCGCGAACTGGCTTCTGGGGTCCTTTAAGAGAGAGAGGGAGGAAGACGGGGTGATGAGAGTTTCAGTGAGGTCAGCACACTGTGCACGACCATCATGCTGGGGGTCATTGCCTCCTCCTGAACACGGGGGCCTGGCAAACACTGGCTTCAGAGAGCTCCACAGGGAGCACAAGCTGGTGCCAGAAAGTTAATCCTGAATTCAGGTGTCATCCTTCACAAGTTACACAAGAAAACTGGTCACTGGTGACCAGAGACAGTCTCTCTTCCTATTTCGAAGCCCTCTGAACAGAAGTGTCTGGAATAGGAACTCCAACCCCTCTGTGTGTCTGTTTAGTCCACTTAGGGCAGTGGTGCTCAAATGTAGTCCCTCACCAGTAGCACGAGCTTCACCTGGAAACTTGTTAGCATTTCAAGTTTTCAGGGTCCAAAGCTGTTGAGTCAGAAACTCTGGGTAGGGCTCAGCCATCTATGCTTTAGTGAGCGCCCCTTGAGTGAGCATTTAGGCATGCTGAGGATTGGCTGGAAAGCAAACACACAGGAAGAGCCTGGGTTCCTGAGTGACTGTGTGGAGTAGAGCTCACCCCTGATTGGACAGTCCAGGACCATTATGTGAGAAGTAATTCCTATGCTCTGTGCTCTGAGTTCTCTTTGTAGAGCAGCTTGGCCTAATTGTATTTATGTATTTATTTATGCCACTTCTATACAGCCCATTTCTTTCATACTTTACCTTTCCTCAAACTGGGATGCTTTTCTTATATTGACAACATGTCACATTTTAATTAATGCTATTTTTTCTTAGTAGCACATAAAATAATGTTTGCAGTTGCTGGCATCCTAAATGTAACAAAATTACCTGACTGTCTAGTTTTGAAGTCATACCTGGATGTGTCCGTGCTGGTGCCGTTAGACAAATGCACGGTAACCAGGTGGGCGTGGACAGGTGAGCACAATGAATGGAGACGGGGCAAAGGAATCTGATGGGGCATCGCCAAGCAGCGCTTGTCATGCCTAGTGGAATCCAGGCTAATGTTGTCTTTTTCTTATTTACATATTTTATTGTGTCATCAAAATATTTTTTGGCAAAGTAGTTTCAAAACATTTTTCCCAAGGTGGGGCTTTGATGTTTAAAATGCTTGGCAAGACAGACAGGGGTGGGGACAGAAGGACAAAATGAGAGGAAAGGGAAGAAGAGGAGAAGTCAAAGTTTTGATGCAGTTAGTACAACGTGACATTAAAAAATGCCAGTAACATTTCCCCAGTCTTTGTGACATCCAAAAGAGGTTCTCATAGACTCCCAGATGCAGGGCAGGTGCTGCCTCAGTGGAGAACCACTGAGTTAGAGGAGGGTGCAGCCTGGGAACTTACTTCTGATCCAGAGAGTTGCTCCTAGAGTCTACCAGGGAGGGGCAGGTGGAGGAGGGGGTGAGGGTGGCGCTGCTGAAACTGGACACAGAGGGGTCCCTTCCCAGCGGGGAGATATCAGACAACTGGAAGCAAAGAGAACACGGCACATGAGATTCAGACAAAAAAGCCACCCCTGCAACAGTGGTCTGGACACCAGTAACTCGCTTCATACAACTTCTGTTTCAAGAAAAGAAGCCTTGCACGCATTTTACAGCCTGCGGGTCACATTAGGGATCAAAACAATCACAATTTTGCTTTGTAGATGCCTGTCCCCTCCAGGATTAATAGAACACCCACCCCCGCATTAATAGAACGACAGATACTGTTCTAAGAACATTGCAGGGGTCCTGCCCTCCTAGAGCTTACATTCTAGTGGAGAAGGAAGAGAATAAGCCAGTCAGCAAACACTATACCCGGGTCAGGTAAGCTCTACAGCAAAAAATAAAGCAGGTAAAAAGGTGAAAGAGTGTCAGGAGCTGTCGGCGGTCCACGGGTGGCTAAGGAAGTCTGTCACAGGGAGACAATGTTTGGGCAGAAAAATGAAACAGAAAAAGAAGCCAATCATGGGAATATCTGAAAGAAAGACTATATGCAAAGACCCAGGGCAGGGATGAGCCTGGAATGTTCAAGGAACAGTGAAAAAGGTCAAGAGGCCTGGGACGGGGTGGATGGTGCAGACCTTCTCTCAGTGTTCACCTCGCTCTTGGTTGAAGGCAACAAGCCACCAAGAACCTCAGGACTTCTTGTGCCCGGTCACAGTTACAGAGCACCCCCTATGGAATGTTCCTTTCTGAGAGATTTAGGGAAAAGCAAATTTCCCATCTGTCTCAGTCGCTCTAAGAGACACAGAGGGATGCATTTACCTTCAGTCAGGGTTCTGACTTTGAGAATTCAATAAATGCAAAAGCAGCTGTGTCCTGCAGCCACATACACAGTCACACCCACCTCAGCTGCTGAACGCAGTGGGGACCTGGGGCAGAACCAAGCAGCTCACCTTGCAGTCACTGATGCTGCCGTGCACCTGGTTGAGCTCTCGGTTGAAAGTGTGAGTGAGAAGTTGCAGGCACTAGGGAGGAGAAGGGAAGAGTAAGTTTCAGTGGCTACGTGCAGTCCTACTGGGAGGCAGGTGGGGACACCGAGTCTAAGACCACAGTGGCTCTCGGCTGCTTGAGAAAACACCTAAGCACACGGTGAGCGCAGCCTGGTGGATGCCGGTGGGACAACAAAATGAGCAGACTTTTAAAAAAGCTACCCACGTTTCTCAAGACTACTAGAGTGAATTACTACAGACATGACGGTCAGACATGCTGAACATGTAACAGAACCCCTTGTCTCGAGCCACCTTGGTGCCAAGAGACATGGAGACTTCTGGCTGGATACACTGTCGTTGGATTATTGAAACACACAAAATCCCTTCTCCTAGACCCCACCTCCAGCCAGCTGCCCAGACCCCGTCGCCAGACACCACACTCAATGGCCTTCCACCACTTCATCAGGCAACACAGGCCAATTCTACCCACCAAAGAGTCCCCTTCTTCATTGCACAGGCCCCTACTCTAGCTGAAGAGCTGCCATTATTGCCCCTCTAGATTACTGCAATAGAGAATTCTTTCTGCTTCCAGCCTATCCCTTCACCACAAGTTCACCCTCTTTATTGCTGCCAGGGAAGCCAGTCTAAAAAGAAATACCTGTTGAAAATATTTCTGCATCACTCCGAGGATACCTACCAACTTGTCAGTACTGGCCCTCATGACCTGACCTGGCCCACCTCCCGTGAATTCCCTCACACGGATGGAGCATGCACTACTGGCTCCTGGCTGGACCTCCTTCGAAGGCCAACTCACCAGAGCACTCCGAGGGCCTCCCTGGCCCCCCTAGGTGGCCGCTCCTTTGGCCCCCCACAGCATCCTAGATGTACCCCAGCTATCTGCCTGCCACCCACTTGCCTGAGTTCATCACAGGACAAAACTGAGGCTTGTTTGTTCCTGTGTTCACAGCATTAGCACAGGCCCTCAGAAAAGAGGGACGCGAAAATGCAAGAACTGCGCGCCGGGCTCACAGCGCTGGGGGCCCGCGGGGGAGGTCCGCACCTTGGTGGCCAGCTCCTTCTCTCGGTCCACCAGGCTTTCGATGTCCGCCGAGTCGTAGCCACTGCTCTCGCTGGGTGTGATGGCACTCTCGAAGGTGGTGGTGGAGATCTGAGAGGAGATGCTGGTGGAGGTGCTGAGGGTCCCACTGCTGAGGCTGGGGGACAGCGAGTCGCTCAGGGATTTGGGGATGCTGTCTCCAAGTCGCTCGCGCAGCAGCAGGAAGTGGCGGGTTCTCTCCACCTGAGGAGACGGACACTGCTAACGGCCCAGCAAGCGCAGAACACGCTAAGCCCGTGTAGACGCCGCCTCTGGGGAGGGCAGGTGCGCTTGTCTGTGGGCCCTGCCAAGCCGGTACCTCGTGCAGGAGCTCCAGCTTCTCCAGCTCCCACTGGTGCTCTAGGATGAGGCTGTCTCCACGGGGCCGCCAGCCCGCCAGGTTCTCCTCGCCCCGCACGTAGGCCACCGACGTGTCCAAGACTTTCCTTCTCCGCCTCTGCATGCCTGCGGTGAGGGAAAGCAATGCTTTGTTTTCATTCTTCAGGGAAAAGTCCAATTTCAACTCTAGTCCCAAGTGAATTAGTAATTCATATACGTGGCCAATGAGGCCAGTTTGGTCTCAAAACACCTGCGATTTTGTTTATTAATAAAACTTCACCCCTTTTCTCTCACAGCAACTCTCGGAACTTCTTCTAAAATTGAGTTTTATATTCTTTGGTAACCGAAAAATACAAAGCAACTTGAGAAACTGTCAACGTAAAGTGAAAACACTGAGATTAAGTCAAATATAGTTCCAAACGCTTCTCGACAAATCCATGTGGCGAGACAGGAGGACCACACTCCCATCGTGCTTCAAGGTTCAGTTAGGACAGCAAATGACGGGGGCGTTACTTCATTATTTCACACTGGTTTTTAAAAAATGTTACAATGGTCTTTCATATGAAAGACAGGAATTTATATTAATTTTTAAAATTCTGTAAGATGCTCATCTGGACTCTAATTAGCTGCTGTTTTTTTCAATCTAAATCTTATCTCTGGATCCTGCCCTGATTTCCACATATGGTCTCTAAATAATTCAAATCACATTAATCAAATTGTTTTTTAAAAACTGGACTTTTTCCTTGCTCATTTTCAAACACAGAAACGCAAACTTTTGCTTGAGGTCATGGTGTAAGGGAAAGCCAGCGATTCAAGAGTCATAAAAAAAGGACACGAAACAAGCTTAACTCAATAATTTGTCTCTCTAGGGCTCAGGAAGCTCAGATTCTAGTCCAGTGGCACCTGTATAGGTACACAGTGACGTCATCCTGGGCCAGAGTTGGGGGCAGTGGCGCCGCAGTTTTCCAAGCCATGTTCATTCTAATACATCCAACTTTCCAACCTCTCACAGCCCAGTAACATTTTGTTCTACACTGTTTTTATAACTACCACATACTGCAAATGCCATCACAGCTCAGGAGAGCTGTGCATGGCACCATTACAGAACGGGCTGCCTGTAAAATACACCTGGTTTTGAAAAACTCTCCTATCCATCCAGTTCTCCAGATAGCACACTCCAAACGTAGGCAAAGATAACTATCCAGGGCCTCCCCTGGTGGCGCAGTGGTTGAGCGCTGGGCTGCGAGGCTGCCTGCAGCCTCTACAGCGCCGGTTCGTTCCCGGCCACTGGCGAGGGTCCCACAAAAAAAAAAAAAAAAGAAAAAAGAAAAAAGGTAACTATCCAGATGCAGAAGTGCTTACCTGGACTACCTGTGTCTGCCATTTTGCATAAACTGAGTTCGTAAATTCCAGTGACTCGATTGCTGTTTGAATTAAAACAAAGAATTGCTTTATTTCTTACAACACAAAACCAGGAAAATCTCAGTTCTCTGCTTGAAACACTGCTCCCCTACAGGCACGCGTCCCACCCGCAAACATAATACAGATGCTTCTTACAGCCACTGCTCTATTCCAATTCTGAATTTAAGAAGTGTATTTTTTCCTAGAGAGAGGCTGTTTCCATCTCAATCTTTCAAACACTCATCTCAATAGGATGAGCACAACTGAATGATAAACTAGAAAAATTTATGTGAGAATTTAAAAATTTGCCTTTCTTTATCACAAGAGAGTGAGGGGAAAACGTCCGACCAGGATGAAATGACAAACATCTTGGGGTGTGCATGGGGGGGCACTGAACTGTCTATGACAGTAACACTCCTTTTTTAAGCTGGGGGGTGATGCACAGCTGTTCACTTATTCTCCATGATACTTCTTTTTGATATACCCTAAGTAGGAATAAATCTTAAAAAGAAAAAAATCCCAATGAACATTAGAAATACTATGATATTTTTAGAACATTCGGTCCCAGCAGAATTATTTGGCAATGTTACCAGTGTAACATTCCTTCCTTCCAGCAGCTTCCTGTCAATATTTTATTAAGCACCAATCCTCCAAGTCACTGCTCTCCAGGTGTCAGCCAACGAAGTGGCCCAGAAGCCTGGAGGGTGGCTGATTCTGCGCTGGGAAACCCAACCCGCAGCTAAACTTGTCTGAAAAACTTACGAGTCTGGTGACTTTGAGTAGCCGCTGCCGAAGAGACTGCGCAGAGAGCGAGGCGGCGAGATCTTGGCGTCGCGGGAGTAGAAGACCATGCACACGTCCTTGGTGATCACGGCCGGCTGGATGCAGTGGTCCAGCTGCAAGCAGACAGAGCACCTGTGACCAGTCTGGGCCACACCTGAGCCGCACCTGGATATCGGGTCCAGAGGCGGGGGCTGGAGGGCCCCAGCTGCACCAGTGGTGGCAGTAACTCAGCACATGGCGGTGGATGGTTGAGGTCCTTGTAGATGCATTTCTTTTCTCCAAGTTTTTTTCCCTGTAGTCAGCTAATATTTGTTATTTATTATGTGCCCAGCACTGTTCTAAATCCTTTTATATGGGCCCTCAACAAATCTCTCAAGTAAATCCTGTTACCATTAATTTATACGAAAAGTTTCTGAGCATTCCCAGGCCCCAAAATAACCTACCAAATCACTCCAAACAGGAAGTTACACTTAGGGCTTGTGGGGGAACCTGCATTATTACCGCTCCCCCTGCTTGTGAGATGGGGAAACTGACAGAGGGAGTGAAGTCGCTCGTCCAAGACAGGCAGGTGTAAGGGGCTGCATGGGGATGTGGATGCAGCTGAGCTGGCAGCAGGGCCTGCGCTGGACACTACCACAAGGCTCTGCCCACACCACTAAAGGCTCCACCCACCACGAGGCCCCACTCACACCACGAAAGGCACGGTTACCCTCAAATCAGACCACCTTCTAAAAGCAGGGAGGTTAGACTTCTAAAGCTGAAGCTGTTATAAAAGTCATGTGCCTTTTTGATTGTGACCAGGAGCAGACTCTAAAACATCATTACAATAAACCAAGTATAATAAAATAACTTGAGGGTGTGGAGGGAGTGGGGGGCCATCAGCTGACACTGCCCTGCCTGCTCCCCACGCGCTGCTCAGGCGGGATGTTCACAGCACTGCAGGTTCCGGGCCTGCTCACCTCTAGGTAGGCCGACAAGGTCATGTAGATCTTCTCCCCGTAGGGTGTCACGCGGTTCAGGAGCAGGGAGTTGTGGAGGGAGCTGTCCCACACCGCCTCGAATCGGTAGAAGGTCCTAAGGCGGGAAAGGCAAGAGGGAGTCACCCCAAGAAGCTGGAGTCAGCAGTGCGGGTGCTGGCCCTGAGAAATTATGGAATCTATACCCCAACACTTTCAATGTACCAAGATCGAACAACTGAGCAGAAGCTTTACCCCAGGACAGGGAGGCTGCCCCATTCTCTGCCCCCCACCCACCACAGAGGAGGACATAGGTGTCTGCTCCTTTTTTCTTTTCTGACCAGCCTGCTTTTTCCTCAACCCATGGACATGAAAGTAGGGAGCGCAAGCAAAGGGATCAGGAAGAGAAGGTTAAGTGAGCATGGGCAGAAACTGAAAGAAGACAAAGTAAGTGCCCCTGCCGGGCCGAGTGGGAGCAGGAGGCACGTGGGGACCCGCAAGCCCAGTATCCACATCACGGCCCGGTCCTCTGGCCTCAGGAATGTCCCAACCCTGGAGGATGAACCGAGGAGACAGGTCGAAGAACAGAAGAAGAGCGCCTTGCTTTAAATAAAAGATCGAGGTCATTCTTAGCTGACGTTTTTGTAAGAGAATGATCTTAACACCAGTCAACTATCACATTGAAATAACTTAATAAAAGCTTAACTTAATAAACATCAATCAACTATAAGTTGTCCTGGTGTCTCTTTCCCCGTGACAGACTGCTTGACGTGAAACCCGCCAGCTCTGCAAACCTAGCCGGGAGCTTTGTGCTGAGCTCACCATAGCCCCTGACCTCTGACCCCAGACATATTCCCTCGTCTCACCCTGCAGAATAGACACTCCACGGTTGCCTGCTCTCCGCAGATGTAACACAGGTCACCCGATTCAACCAGAAGGATTCTGTTCCTGCCCCATGTACTCCTCCTCATGCCTCCCCAGCTGGCAGCGTCACTGCGACTGTCTTTTCTAGATTTCATGACAAACACTTGGCATATCTTCTCTCCAACACAATCCCAGGCATCCTACTCCAGACACAATGTGCTTCCAAAGAGGTCCCGAACCACCTCACCCTCCCAGGGCCACTGTGTGGAGTCTGATTTACTTCACGGCTGCTTCTAGATCTAAGTCCCCTGCAAGCACTTGCTAACCTCAAGCATCTGGGTTTGGAGGCAGCGAGGCAGTGTGTGTGGATGAGAAAATGCTCTACAGGACACAAAGGAATATGGAGTCAAATGCAAGACAAAGACAGACAGAGCAACCGAGGGGTCCTAATGGTGACCAGAGGAAGGATGAGGAGGCCGCTTCTCGCCCCTGGCTCTCCGGGCTCAGCACAGCCCTTCTGCACCCACAAGGCTCTGTTTTCCATCAACTTTGTTTTAGGACAAACCCTGGTATTGGAATTTGTCCCTCAGTATAGAACGGCATCTGCCTTTTCAGCAGGAGCCGCACGAGAGTGCTGTCACCGGGATGCTCTCTCACTGCGCCCCTGCCTTCGTCCAGTCCTGGAACGCGACCCACCTGTCCCACCGCAGGGTCTGGGCACGCGTTGGCTTGGATGCTTGGACGTGCCCAGGGTCAGGGCATCTATTACTCTGGAGACACCAGACAGAAGCGCCTTCACTGCCATCTATACCAGTATCTCGTGAGGTTCAGACTCTAATTCGGCCTCCAGGGCTGTCTTGGAGGTTTCCAATTCCCTTCTCAACTGCCTGATTTTGGGAAAGAAGGCTCTTCACACCTCTGCTTTTAGGTTAAGCTTTCACTTAACCTAAAAAGAAAGTTTCACTGAGAAACTTGATTAACAAAACGGGAATTTTGACTCTACAAGAACTCCTGTGTAGAGATGAGGTTTCTTGTTCTGTTTTGCTTGGCTCATGAGAGTCAGGGCAGCGTGTTCCTTTGGCAGAGCCCCTGAATGGTCATCTCAAAGGGTGGGTGTACGAAAGATAGCCAAGACTGGTGAGAAACATCGAGTGACTCAAGCTCGGAAGAGAATTTAGCGTCAGACACAGCCCGAGTCCTGAGACACCTCGTTGGGTCAGTCAGATGTGACCCCATGTGGTTGTCTCACAGTCGCCCGAAAAGCAGCTGCACGTACAGTCTAATCTTTTTTTTTAAAAAACAAAAAACCCTTAAGCGATGTTGCCATGTATTGCTTCCTTAAGCCAGACAGAGATGGGAAAAAACTTCGTTGGTATAGAACCAGGATTTTTCCTATTCCAAAATAAGAGTAAGTAGATGAGATAAGTAGTCTTGACAGGAAAAGAGAAATGTTTAAAAATAAACAAAATATTTCTCAGACTCAGCTTTTCAAATAACCAAACTGGTCTCTATTGCTGTGGCCAATTATGTAAAACCACAGAGCAAACAAACCTTGCAAGTTATTGACAGAGGACAGAGAAGCACAGAAAACAGAGCCTGCGATTTCCATGCAGTGAGCAAGTAAGAGTCTACTTTGTAATGTTGAAGAGGAAAATGGCCTGAAGAGGCCTAAGAATAAAGTGGATAAATTTAGAAAATGAAATGAGTTTACAAATCACTTAAGAAGTTACATTAAGAAGTTACACATCAGCAACACCCAGGCCACAGAGCAGAGGGCTCAGGAGCAGGGTTTGGTCTAGCCTAGGTTTGCACGGGGGAAAACCACTAAATTAAAACAGCAGTCATAGCAGCATAAGACAGCGTGAAGCGTTCTGCTAAGCTAGAGACTTTATGTGCAAAAAAGCAAACAAAATACCTAGGAATATCCTTATCAAGAAAGGGCCTGCAAAAACATAGAAAAAGCTTTTGTTAGTGCAACAAACAAGACAAAACAAAACATCAAAAGGAAAGGAAAACAAGACAGAAAAAAGACAAATCTGCTTGATAAGCAAAGTGAATTCAATGCAAGACAGTTAACAGAAGTCCGGGGACAAGGCTTGACAGGGGGTTACAGTGACACGGATCCTGCCCCAGAGACAGTCAGTTAAGGAAAATGCTGGTCAGAGGGGAATGTGGAGACCAGTCTATGGACAGCCCTTTAGGAGGTGACTTAGCATTGGAAATGGCTGGAAGCTGCTGTGGACTTAAGGGAAAAGCAAGTCATTAGGTAACATAAATGGGGGTCTGCGGGGAGGGGGAGGAGGCATGGCCCAGCTATACTCCACCGTTGGGGCATCAGAAAGACGTCAGTTGACACGCTTACAACCTTAGTCAAACGACCAAGTTCTCGTACGCCATTCCATGAGCAACTTGCCCCATTACCTTGTGCTCTCTGCTCCCTGACAAGGGCTGAGGTCTGTTCTCACTGCACATCCTACACTGGAGAGAGTATCTCACATTCTCAGTTGCCCGAGAATCTGTTCCAAAGAGCTGGTGGTGTGCGTGTCACGGGTGAGAAGTGGAAAGCTCCAAGCTGCTCATGCAGTTTGATTTTATGATCACAATCACCTAGTTTACTCAACAGTGAGGTGGTTCAATGAAGCGTGAGGACAAAAAGAATTGTTGCTTAGAGTGAAACAAGACTAAGTGTGAAAATTTAGTGTAAATCTTCAGCTGAACGTTTTAAAAAGATTTGGTAGTGGTGAGTTCAGAAAACAGCTGTAATACTAAGTTTGGGTGAGAAAAAAAGAGGGAAATGATCAAGTTTTAGTGATGAATGATTAAAAGTGTAAAGAATTTTGCACTTAGATTTTCTTCCTAGCTTTCCAGTTCTTGCTCCACCAAATCAAAAATCATAGCTGATGGATCCCGAGTGTGGTTTTGCGAGACCATCCTCAGACCAATGAGGGAGCCTATAATTAAAGAAAAGGTTTGGGCCTGGAACAAGAGCTCGGCAAATTAGTGTGCATTTTTGTAGGTGAGTGAAAACAAAAATGTTTAAAGTGTGTATCTTTTGTAACTTTTTTTTTTTTTTTTGCATAGACAAACTGGGGTGCAGGCCAGAGGTATGGGGGTGAGAGGATTCACCAGAGACAGAGTGGGGAGCAGAACAGGCAGACTGACTGAAATCCACTGCTGAGGGGAGCAGCGGGGAAACAGGAGAGGTCTGCTGCACCATGTGGGTAGCTCCCTGCCTGGGGACTGAAATCAGGCCACAGCAGAAATAGTGCTGAGATTTAACCCAAGGCCTTATTTTGATGTTAGTCAGTGTCTGTTGTGAAAAATAAGCTGCTTCTTCTAACAAAGCCAAATTCACCTCCCACAGCCTCTGACCTGGTGACGGGTGTGAATCAGGCTTTCGGGTCACGCCCGTGCAGGCAAGTTCAGCACAACCTGTATTTCAACCAAACACCACCTTTTCCTGTGTATTTTACTAAATGCCTTAGGGAAATTTAAGACATATTTCTCACAGGGGCAAAGAAGACGTGGCAAATGCCAATGGAATAGTTGCCATAAATGTCCGGCAGGGGAGGAGTGCTCGGTAGGGTTCATGCCAACTCCAGAGAAGGGGTGTCATTCAAGATTGTGCCCAGGAATAGGCCAGGGAGGGTCCATGAGCCCTCTTCCTCTGCCCTCAGTCAGCACACGCTCTCTCATGCTCCGCCCACTCCGCAGCCCCAGCAGCTCCTCTTACAGCTATAAAGCAAACAGAAGTTTCTTTTTTCTCTTTGCTGTGTAAAGCTATAACACGAGGAAACAATGGAAAGAAATTAATCCTGACCCAAACCTTCCATTTTCTCTGCCTATTGTCTCTTCGTTCCTCTCCTTCCCAACACAGGCATGAGCAAGGTCTGCAGCAGAGGACGCACGGGCGCCATGCCTGGGAACTCTGCCGCCCCTGCTGTCCAGCCCTCACTGCGAGGCGATGCAGCCTCTGGGCCCTGAACAGCTGCTTCCTGAGGCTCTGACAGGCCCCGGCAGATCAGGCTGACGTGGGAAGGGAGGGAGGCTCTGGACGCCACGCACTGCTTATTGTCAGTTGACTGTAAAGTGGGATTTTAAGGGAAATCATTTGAAAACTAAATGATTTACAGCAGTCAATGGTGATCAGGAGAGTTTATATGTATTTACCGCCTTTACACCTAAATGACAATGCAAGGCAGAGGCAAGCCTGAGCCCCCGCGGGGCACCCCTGGGGACCAGAGAGCTTGCCCCCACACCCTCAGGACCAGAAAGCACGCCCCACGGCAAGCACTTCCCGGGACACTCGGTCTTGGCAATCATCAACCCATCCTGCCAAACCCCCGGGCAGCAAGTTGCATTTCCTTCCCCTGCTTGGTCCTCAGCGCCTGCTCCTGTGGAAGGCTTCCCTTTGCCCAGGCGGGTGCGGAGCCACAGCTCCTGCAACTTGTTGGGTCACTTCGGGAGCATGGGGTGGAAACGGGGAGTTCTGAGGAAGGAGGGAATGAGTTTCTCATCTGAATGGGAGTCAGTAAGGAACCGGGTCTAAGGGTGCCTCAGTCAACCTCAAAGCTCTGACCCACCCCCGCTGAGGGCACCCCACCTGCTGGAGTTGTGGGAGGACTTCAGGTACTTGGCGGAGATGATGTTCAGGGAGAGGATGGCATCAACCGCAGCTTCCTCCACCTCAGCCTTGCTCCTTATTCGGCCTGGAGAAAAAGGGAAGGAACCGCGATGTGGGTACACTGAAAACAAACAAACTCAGAAGCCAAAAAAGTCTTTCAATCTTTGTGCAGCTGCAGGTGCGGGAGGGAAACGCAGAATGTTCTGGCTCTTCACCTGCCTCCAGGAGGTGCCTGTGAGGCCTGATCTGTTCTCTGTTCTAAGCGTTTCTCACATTTGCCTCCATGCTTGTGTCGCCGTCACCACCCTGCTCAAAGGGTCCAGATACCCAACGGGCAAGGAGAATAAAACCAAGACTTTATTTCATAAACTCTGTCTGAAATTTGGCATTTCCCTCAATTATAGGGGGAGGGACCAAATCAGAGGCAAATCAGCAGCACCCGGGACACTGTCCTCAGCTGTAGTCACAGGTGCTTTCTTGTCACACTCGAGAAGTGTCTTGACAAAAGTCATTCTGAGCGACAGAAGTTGGACCCACTGCCTACTGAATGCACGATGGAGAAGCGCTTACATCACAAACTGTTCGGACTTTGCCTGTGCTGTCCTGCCCCTGCCCCTTTTCTCCACTGGGCCCGCACATGGACCGGCAACGCTGGACTCTAGCCTGACTCTTACACAAAGTATTTCTGTCTGGAAAACAAAACTAACACACACCCTCAGGTTTCTCTCGGCCTGCTCAGACGCAAGCGAGTGCTGCTGGCTGCCTCTGAGCACGCGTCAGCACAGGTCTCTTGGTGCCTCCTCGAACCTGGCACTCACTCATCACACTGCGGCACCACCTCCCCTACCCCCCACGCTCGGTGAGCTGAGGCCTCTGCTATGCGCTCACGGCCCTGCACAGAGCCTGCCCCACAGTAGCTGAGCAGAAGGCTGGATTTCCCCAGTGATGGGCACCGAGACACTACAGTAATTTCAGGCTCAAGGCCTCTCTATTCCCCAGAGCTCGCGTCTTCCAGGCGCGTCTTCTGCATATTCCTGGTGCTGCGAACAGGACAGTGACATCCCAGGGCCCGGCCCAGAGCACTCACCTACCACCAGCTCCCGGACATCCTTCCAGTGCAGCTCGCTTCCCTTCTCGTGGATGATGGTCACTGTGATCCTGCGCTGGATGCCCTGGGGGATGGGGGTTGGGGGGGAGCGCCGGTCAGTTAGGATGTGGAGAGCAGAAAGGCTGCCCTAGTGTCTCTAACAATGGCCATGGACGGGGGCTGCAAAGAGCACGTTCTAACGCGGCTCTAAAGGCTGACACCCAGGCTGTAGGTACATCAGGAGGACGAGACTCCCACTCTGAGCCCATGTGGGACACAGGCCTACATGAGCACTGGGGGAGCTGTCAAGTCACCTGAGGAGCCCTACATTCCACTTCCAGGGTGCTGTTCCCGTGGAGCCTCATCCTCCGTCCCCATTAACAAAGAACAGAATTTCCAAACATCATGGACTAATAATTATATAAAATTGACATGAAAGCGGCACAAATTATATAATTGAATGAAACAAACCCTTTTCCAAAATCAGTCATTTAAAATATATATATAGGTGGGTATATAAGAGGCAAGGTCTGAGGAAGAAACATTAAAAAAATTTTAAAAAAGAAAAAAAGAAAACAGGAGATTTCCCCTGCCCTCCAAATCCCCTCAAAGGGGGGTGCAAAGCAAAGAAGCAGGGTCATGTTTCTTATTCAAAACTCTCTGGTGCTCCCTCCTAGGCCCTCGGCACTCCCATATTAGTACCTGGTGAAGCAAAAATGTCCCCTGGCAGGGCAAGCCCGCTGTGTGGTCAACCACCGCTGGAATGTACCTGCAGAAACGAAAACCAGAGCCCATCAGGTGGAGCGCGGATGCCCCCTCAGTGTGTCCTCCCTGCCAGATCTGTCCTTGTGCTACAGCCCCCTGGGGTTTTTCTTCTTCCCTACTTCTTTCTCGCTCACGTGGGCACTTGACCTCACAGCCATGGGCATGTGCTCCAAGGACAAAGGCCTCCCCTGGCTCCACCAGGCCCTTGCATGGCAGACAAACAATAAATAACGCACAAGTGCAACACAAGTGTCCAGAGACGAGATTGTTTCAGGTTCTAGATCATTTTGAAAAATCAGAAAGTGAGTAACTTGGTAGAAACTATGACCGTACCCTCGTCTCGCTCATGATTCAGTTAGTCATACTGCAGATCTACCCATGGAAAGTCAGCTCCTTCGAGCAATGACCCGGCAGCGGCTTCGTCCGCCCGTGCTCCGGGGCAGGCTCGCACAGCGCTTCATGGGCGGGGGTGACGTGGCACCGCGAGCAGAACCACCAGGCCATGACCCACCCGGTATATTTATTGCCAGAGCCCCTGGCTGCTGCTTCCGGAGTGGGACCGCTTTTCTTTGTTTTTCCAAAAGTATTTTAGAGACAGCTATAAATAGTAACTGCATTTGCCACTTATCCTGACACAGCTCATACAGTGAGTGAGCTGATGCAGGACGATGGTCCTCAACTGGGGTGCCCATGGGGCATTTGGGCGGCCTGAAAGCATTTTTGGTTGTCAAAACTGGAAGGGCGGGGCTGCCGCATCTCATGGAAAGAGGCCAGGGGTGCTGCCAGATACCCTGCAAGGGTAGCACAGCCCCTCCCCCCACAGAGAGTCATCTGGCCCCAAATCGTGGCCAGTTGAGAAAGCATGGCGCGGGGAACCCCTCTGCTCCAGCCCCTTGCGGTGACATGAACGTGCGTCCCAGCCACACCACAGCCACGGCTCTGACTCCCCTGCTGCGCTGCTGGTAACCCCACAATGCAGGGGCCTCCCTCAGAAGCGGGCTGGGGCTCCAAGACCTCGCTGTTGTTAACAGGAAGGTGAGTTTTGTACTGGGCGGTCAGCTTTCTGACAAACCTCTGATTCAAAGAACATAAGACCACTGATTTCAATTCAAAACTGGAATTCGATAGTGATTCGTAAACAAGGAGACGCAAAACGACATTTCCTAATTTACAAAACATTGAGTTATTTAGAAATTCGCAAGCTGGACTTACTCTCCAGTGGGCTCCAGCTCGCTGATCTCAAACCACACCAGGAGGTCGTACTTGCTCATGCTCTGGCCAAGGCTGGTTTTGCTCATGGTGTTTAACTTGGTGGCTGGAACTTTTAAAAATTTTTAGAAAAAGTCAAATCTGGTCCGAGTCTACTCAGCAAAAGTACAGGCTTCTTTCAGGCAGTTTCAAGGACACACTTGGGAAAGGCAGCAAGTCGGGGGCAGGCTTCCCTGCTGAGGACCCAGGGCCCACGGCAGCTACATTGTGGGGGGGTCCTGGACCCAGACAATATGGGAAAAGGGCATGTTGATCTTCCTCCCTCATCAAACGGTACCAACAAGGAGACGCGCTCTGAGCTCACAGCCCTTCCTCAGTCGCCCATGCCGGTGAGAGATGTGGGCAGAGCCTGCGCATCCCGGGCCCACTAAGGCAGGTGGGGGGAGGAAAGACACCCCCCTCCCCTCGCCAGAGGCTCCCAGACCTCCCTGCACATGGGTGGTCAGGAGCTGAAAGGCGGAGGAGCCCACAGCCTGGCGGCTGACAGCGCCCCATGCAGGAGGCTGCAGCCCTTGGGGCTCCAAGGTGCAGCCAAGTTTGGGAACCATGGATGGGTCTGACCTGCAAATAAGGGGTTCTGTCAAAGGTCATATATTACACAGATTCTTCTCGTTTAAATTCCATACTCTTAACTGTACCAATGAAATCAAACCCAGTATTTCTAAGAATTTCAGATTCTACATGGTGGGTTTGGAAGCACTGTGCAGATCATGAAATCTGGCAACACCGAGAGGGCTCCTCCCGGAAGCTGGGCCTTCAGAACCCACAGGGAGAGAGTCCAGTCCCCTGGGAGTTAGTTCTGCCACCCACTACCCGGCTGATCCTCTGACCAAGCTGTTCCACTTGGAGCCTGTCTCCGCAATGTCACCCTACCCTGCTATGTCAAAGAGGTATCGGGAGGAGCTACGGGGCTTTGTCAGTCTTGTGGGGCTGTCACCCCGGCACTGTCAGTGCCACCGGCTTGCTGGGAGTCACAAGAGGAGCTAGAGACGCTGGGCCATAGACAGGCTGCCGAAGGGTCACTTAAGGGTCAGAAAGCAAAACCATAAATACAAAGAAATCTATTAAAATCCTTATAACTGAGAATATAATTGCAAAGAATCCAAATATAAGGAGCCCTTCCCCCGAGGGTGCAGTGAGATGCACAGACACAAGGCCCCCTTGCATCTGAGGGAACGCAGGGCAGTCCCCACGTCCCGCTCAGGCAGCACAGAGCAAGGGGGCGGCCGTCCATCAGGGCCAGGCTTCAGGCAGGCTCTGAGGATGGTTCTACGCTAAGGCAGAGCTAACTCAGCTACAGACCATCTTGTCTGGGCAGCCCGCCGTGCTGGCCGCGGCCACTGGCCAGAAGAGAAAAGGCAGCGTGGCAGCCCCACCCTGGCAGGTGGCAGAGGCAGAGCAGGCGAGCAGAGCGGCGTGTCCCACACGTGCACAGCTGCTTTGCCAGAGCCCAGAAGCCCAACCACTCAATCTTTCTCGCGTGGCCTGAAGGCAGCGGGAAAGGAGGACGGAGGTGGAGAATGAGCAAGGGGCAGGAAGGCAGCAGAAGGCCGTGAGGAGAAAGGATGGAAATAAAGAAAAATCAAAACATGAACATGAAGAATAAACTTAATACGCAAAGGAAAGCCAGGTCAGCTGCTAGTTCCCGGACTACACACAAGGCAGAGACGTGGGAATGGGAAGCTTATGAAATCTGCACTAGCAAGGCCGGAGAACCGCCTGGGAGAGAGCCCGGCTGGTTCTTATTCGAAACTGGGACCTAGACTGTGAGGAAGGAACACAAGAGGGCATGCAGAAGCAGAGAAGGAACCCGCACACGACTTTCACTGGACGGCCCTTCAAAGGGAGAGGGACCCCAAGCGGGACACGGGGCGGGCTCACCTGGCTTGGAGAGCGGCATGGGCGGAGGGAAGAAGCGCCGGCAAGGCTGAGGGGGGCTGCAAAGGAAGCAGACGAGATCCTTCGAGACTGAAGATCAGAGTCCCCCTGGATTTTGATGGCTCGCGTAACCCCCTTAGGAACAGATCGCCCGCACTGCCAACTTGGCATAACACCAGTCACTGACAGGGCTGTGTGGTAAAGTGAGGCTGAGACATTTAATGAGATTCTGTGACAGTAAGTGAAGTAAAAATTTCTGTGAACTCTGTCTGTCTGCATCTAAGAACCCCTGGCATTGCTTTCCTCACCCACGTAGTGTCCCCAGAAAGAGTTTATGCATCGTTAAAGTTCTGGGTCATCAGGGACAATTAAACACAATTCTCACAATATGTCCCCATCACCTCAACTTTCAATCCTATTTAAAAGTCTCTTCCCACAAAAACATGGTTCTCCAGGTCACCTGGGCAAAATTCAATTTGCTCGACCTGAAGTTAGTGATTGGGTGTCTTAGAAAAAGGCGGTGAAGTCTCTAAAGAGGAAACAGGGTAATGCATAAAGCTGTCGCCTCCTCTATTCCCTTGAGTTCTTCCTTTACAGCAGTTGACAACGTCAACAACAATCTTTGCTCCTTTTGGCCCAAACCTGTTAAGCTCCTGTCCTTGTAGGTGAAGTGGGTGCTGCTGATAATGTCCAAAGACTTCAAAAACGATAGGCTTGGTTTTAATGTACTCCACAAACGATTCTGTGACCTCCACGGCGATCTAGCAAGGAACAGACAAGTGAGACCAGAGAAACATTTCGTGTAAGAAAATCACATCTCTGCTGCGATCAGAACTTCGGCGCTTGAGTGATGGGTCTGCACTGGGTGCTTTACCATGCAGGCCCCACCCCAAAGACAGGGTCTCCCCTCATGTCTTCATTCTACAGTGACTCTGCCAAGGTTTGGGCATTCAAGAACCTCCATCATCTCCCCAACTGACCTCTGGTCCAGCTGCTCTTCACCACTCACAGTCAAGCTCAATCACACTCACCACGTGCTGGTCCCCCACCTGCCCACCCCAGACTGCAGCCCCAGACCTGCCCATCTAAGCATCTCTACCCTGCAAGCCCTGCTGCAAGGCTAACATCGATGAAAAGAGGACAGTGGATAATGGACAGGACACGATGCAAGTGTGACCTGTCTTTTTTATTTAGAGGCCATTCTTTGGGAGCTCCCTACCTGCTCCTTCTCATCCAGCCATCGAGGGCCACCCCCTAACAGAAAAAGTATCGGGTATTGAGTTCATGGAAATATCTTTCCGTTCTCGACTCCCACTGTGGTCGTGAACCCTGTACACTGTCTCTTGCTCCTGTGCTACTGCTGCTATAGATGCATCCCCAGCCATAGCTCTAGTTCCGGGCACGCTCCTCTGTGCAATCCCGTGGGGTCAGGCACAGCCTGCGCACAGCAGCCAGCCAGCATCTACCAGAAACACACATGCTTGGATTCATGTGATTAAACACAACCAGAGATAGTGTGTTTTGTCCTTGCTTGTGCCATTTTTGGAGCTGTCCTGCTCTCTGGTACTTGACTGACCAGATGTGGCTGGCAAGAAAATGAAAGACCGAAGAAGCAGTGACAAACTCTGGGCTCAAGCCCCATCTCTGTCTCTTCCTGGCTTTGTCACTTAGGCGAGTGACTAATTACTCTGAGCCTCAGTTACCTCAGCTGTGATATGGAAGTCAGGAGTCCATGGAGAAAAGGTGAGGACTAAGTGAGGACAGAAACAGCACTCGGATCAGTGACAGACAGGAAAAAGCCCCGAGGGAAAGCTGCTGCAAGGAGGAGCCTGCTTGAGCAGCGCACTGAGCCTGCCCAGAGGAGAGGCTCACTTCTTCCTCCTCCTAGGAGGCAGCTGAGAGGGGCATTAGAGTAGTCACAGCTTCCGCTAAAGGAAACACTCTGCGTCTTAATGTCTTAATTTAACTTGAAAGGTATTTAATAGTTTCTACGTTATTGCAACCAACCCGTGAATACCTTATGGTTTAAAGGACAATATATGAACTTGAGCATACTTATTTTTTTGGGAGGAAACAGTGAAAACAACTTATCACATTCAAGCTGATGCTAGACTTTACTGCCAGCTCCCCACCCCCACTCAGGGGCCCACTGTAAGTCAGAGCATGAGCTCACCACTGGCCCTGCCCTCCATCATCTACTCTCCCACAGTCCCAGGGCTCAGGGCCCAGGTTTTCTCCCTCCTTGGCTGAGGAAGGTAGAGGGGCCCCAACGGGAGGATTCCTCACACCAGAGACTTCCAGGCACCACAGAGCAAACTTATTGCAGCCTCGACCCTGCCACTTACATTCTGCACGTGATAAAAGCCCAGAGGACTTCCTCTGCCGTTGTTTTTGAGGGGTTCCGTGGAGAAAGCTTCATCGTGGCGATGCAAAAAGCTTAATAATAGAAGAAGACAGGTGAACCTCACAGGCAAGCTTTTGTCAGGGGCTGTTTCGGGACCTCAGCCTGGTCCGTACACAGCGTCCTGCAGTCTTTAATCGAGCCACATTATTTCCATTTCTGTGTCAAGAACATTTTCCATCTCACTCAGTATTTATTTCAAAAGTGACTGGGAAACGACCTGATCCTGCCACCACCACGCTCTGTGGGTGCAGACGCGGGAACACTCCTGAGTGCGTGGAGAGCGCGTCCAGGGGCTGTTGGCACTTCATTGTTTTATACTTTTTATTAATAGGAAAATTTCAGCATAAAGCATTTAAAAACTGAATAAAATAGGCTCCTCTGGGTCAGATCCTGCACTCCCGGCAGAGGAGCTGTCCACAACAGAACCCTCTGAAGGATGCGCGGCCACCGTCCACCCTGCCCCCCCGGAGCTCCAGTTCATTCCCTGTAGGTTTCCGTTTCTTAGTCCCATTGAGTGAAGAAGGGATTTTTATTTCCAACTCCTAGTCGTGTCTCACACATACACACACACACACGCACGCACGCACACACACCTCACGGTTCTAAGGCCCCTAGCTGTGCACCAGGCCATGCCCAGATCGAGGGGGTGGTGGGGGGCGGTGGCTTACTTGAACTGACAGAAGATGTCCGCATACTCGGGGAGGATCCCACTGGCCTGCAGCACAGTCACCCGGAAAGTGAAGGCGCTGCCCAGTTTCAAGTGGTTGCCGACCTCTTCCGAAAACCCTTCCATCACCATCTTACCATCCAGCAAAGTGCCTGACTTCAAATCTAGAGGCCAAGTGAGCACACACCAGTTCAAACGATGGGCAGAGCACGAGGGGGTGGGGGGAGAGGGGGAAGTGGGGGGGCATTCTTTCAACTCCTAGTATGAGAGTGGCTAGTCCCTGGACAATGGTCAGACTCTCTCCTCTTTGGCACTGTCCCAGCTCCCAGGGAGCGTCCACATACCCAGATCACTCATTCGGTTCACTTCTTCTGGAGGAGTGATGATCTCCGAGCTCTGGCCCTGTCCTTCCACGATCCTCAGCTCCTCCAGGGACAGACCAGAACGAGTCATTGCCACCGAAGAAAAGTCACTCTGAAAGCAAGGCAGGGCGAGTCCTATAATGTGTGCCCTGGCTTCTTATATTTATTTACCAAGAAAATAATAATATAGACTGTAAAACTACATGGACAGTTTTGAGAGCTGGCAGAGAAAAGGCAATGCAGCGAAACACACGTCCTGGCTCTTTACCTGGCCTTTGTGACGGGGAGATGTGACCCACATCCCAGCTCTAGTTCTAGGCCCCAGAACTGGTCTCTAGGACCAAACAACCCCTCAGGACCCCCTACTTGCTTCTCCTTCAACAAGGCCTTTTTCTTCTTGGAGGTGTCTCACCTGATTAAAGTATTCGTTATTGAAAGATATTTTAGCTGTTCCTGACTGTCGAATTCCAGAGCCATAATCAGGAGCTTCTTCATCCGCTAAGTAGAAAAGAAAAAAAAACACAAGGAGAGAATGAGACTGGGGTGAGAAGGAGGGAGTCTCAGGATCATCCAGGCACAGAGAGGAGACACTGAAGAACAAGTCCTTCAAGAAAGAAAGAACGGGGCCTCCCCAGTGGTGCAGCGGGTAGAGCGCCCCGCTGTGGAGCTGTCTGCAGCCTCTGCAGTGCGGGTTCGATTCACTCGATTGCTGGCCAGCCACAGAGATTCCCACACGGCGCGGCAGACCCCCTCCTGCCTCTCCCGCTGCTCCCCTCAGCAGTGTATTTCAGTCAGTCTGCCTGTTCTGTACCCCACTCTGTCTCTGGTGAATCCTCTCACCACCCCCACGCCTCTGGCCTGTACCCCAGCTCTTGTATGCATAGATAAATAAATCTTTAAAAAAAAGAAAAAAGAAAGAACGAAAGAGCAGGAAGCAGCTAAACTGCAAGGGCTGCTTCCGATCTGCTCAGGTGAACTGACCAACCCCCGCAGCTCACATGAGATCATCTAGGGAATAAAATGTCGTTTAAATTTTTGATATCATTCAGAATGTCACACCTAGAAATACTGATCCCTTCACTTGGCAAAACTATACTTAGCGATGGTCAACAGGTATTGGAAATGTTAGACGGTGCTTGTGCAGACTTCCATAATCTCTCCAAACACGGGTGACCCTGTCCCATGTCAATGAGGGAAGGAGCTGGAAGGTCGCTAAGCACAGCAAGGCACTGGGAAATGAGAGCAGACAAATGACAGGAAACAGCCACATTCCTTCCTCAGAACATTGGCCAGCTCACAGCCACCATGAAGCCTCAGAATCTTGATCCACGCATAGGAGAGCACCACAGAGTAACAGGGTGGTCCCCAGGGAAAGGAAAGGTTCCAGGTTCCCTGCCCCACCCAAAGGGAAGGTGGGGCAGAGCAGCAAGAAGCAAGAGACGATAGGGAGAAGGAAGGAAGGAGACCTGGAGGGGACACGTGCACAGACATGTGAAGAAGCCACACTGGCAGAGGGGCCAGCCAAACAGGGTTGACCCAAAGCAGGACCGCAGGGGTGCAAAAGCCTGCCACAGTCTAAGGCTTGTGGGGACCCATAGGAAAGGGGCAGAGGGGCCAGGCAAGTCTGGAAGGAAAGGAGCAAAATCAAGCTAAAGGCTGCCATTGCCAGCCTCCCCGTGGGTCTCTCACCCACGTCTGTTTCAAGCGTCTCCTTCCACGTCCCCGAGTCCTTGGCACCAGGCCTGACTTGCCTGGCCCCTCTGCCCCTTTCCTATGGGTCCCCACAAGCCTGAGACTGTGGCAGGCCTTTGCACCCCAGCGGTCCTGCTTTGGGTCAACCCTGTTTGGCTGGGACTTTACCCACGAGGGGATGGGTAACTTTGGGTGTTTTGTGTGAAAATTATTTTATCTATTCTTTCCCTTCTCTCTATCACACACTGATTGTATGAAAGCTCCTTTCCACTGAAGTTCTCACGCACTAGAGTATGCTTTGTTTTGAAGCAGTAGATGGCAGAACCCATCTAGAGCAGGCAGGCTTGGAGTCCCAAGGTGCCCCTCCTGCTGCCCCCATAACAACAGGACAGAGAAGGTAATACAAAGTGCCCTGAGGGAAAGCTGGCCAGGCAAGCACATCAGGAAAATCCCTTGTTCCTCTAGAAGCAGTTCCATACATTATTTAAAAATGCAAATGACTTTATGAAGTTCAAGGAAATCCCTTTATCCCAATATTCCACAATAGCAGGAGCCCAAACTAAACAGCATCTCCTCAGGATACTCAGACAATAGTCAGAAAGGAAGCACCAGGCCTCCTGGGGACAGAGGCGGATGACAGCCTGCACTCGGACCTGTGGCAGGGCCCACACAGGCCTGCATGCTTGTTGGGGGCATGGAACCCACAGCCCTCACCTCAGGAGAGGGTACCTACCTGCAATGGCCTGCACAGCCACACGAAGCGAGCCCCGTACTTCGCCTTTCTCGCTGACGATGGCCACCCTGTGAATCAGGGGCACAGGGTACAGCAGGTTGCTCAAGTAGACAAAGGCCCTGGGGACAGAGAGCGGAGACAGACACCTAAGCGTCCCACAGAGGAGAGGCTGGATTTCAGTTTTCCCAGAACATACATTCTTCATGAACCCTGAGCTGGCTTCTGGGCTCCCTCGGCCCCCTCTGTTCTGTCACTCCCACCGCCTCCAGCTGCTGTGTCAGCACAGATGACAGATAAACAAATGCAAATGCTTGGTCAAGCGGTTGACAAAGACCAACTTACACCAAATTCTCCCCTGCAGACTTTACCTCTGTGGGTGGAAGAGTAACAATTGGAAGCAGACTTTCTAGATACTGCTGGGTACTGCCAACATGGGGAAAGAGAGCCCCTCACAGAGCTTGGCCTTTAAATGTGAAGAACTGCACAAGGGTTTTGGTTTGTTTTTCCCATAGATAAAACAGAAATCAGGAGATGAATGAAAAGGTGACGGGAATACAATTAATATGAATGAAACAGAGTTCAAGTCACAGTAATAGGGGTCTTTATTTTACTCTGAAAAGTGACAGTTATCTTTAGGCTGGTGACTGGCACATATGGGCAGAGGCTGTGCGGGCAGAGAGAATGTGAGGGCAGAGAGGCTGTGCAGGCAGAGAGGCTGTGCAGGCAGAAGTCTCTGAGCAGCAAACCGACAGCAGACTCCGGATGGGCATCAGGATAAATGCTAAGGGAGGAGACAGCTGGCCCCTTATGGGGTGCTTTTACTCCCGGAGATCAAAATTAAATTCACAAAGACATCTACAAAAGTTACAAACCTAATATTTTCTATTCCAAACAAACTAGCAAAGTCCTCTCACACTTGTATTCTTTTTTTTGTTCTTATGCTATTTTGTAGTCATTCCTTTTTTTTTAAAAAGCAGTAAAAACTGGTGACCACAGAGCTTCCCCTTCCACTAAATGGATGGGAAAGAGAATCCAGTTCCCACTGTTACTTCCGTCATCCCACTTGGTATACGCTGATCTTTGAACACAAGACAAGACAATGAGTAAACATTTGCATCAAGAAATAAACAGAACTAAACGTGACACGTAAGCCTGGCTCGTCTGCTCCTTTTCCTACTCTGAAACCTACTTTAAGACAAAGAGAAAAGAAAGGTGAAATGGATTCTTGGGATTCCAACTCAAAAGTAATGGAAACAACTCTGAAAATAGACAAAACTACACCACAGGAAAACAAATGTTAATAAAACCTTAAAACATAAATGAGAAATGAATGAAAAGTGTAACCAAAAAAACTGCAAATGAACGTTAAGTCAGGTCAGGTGAGGTCTATTTCCCTTTCAGTCTGCTGCAGAGGTGGGGATGGCAATGCCAAGAAACAGAGGGTCAAAGTTTTGTTGTTCAAAAATTAAAAATGAAAAGTCTTTTGAGAAGGTTTATAAGCAAGATTCACAAACATCAACTACTGTGACAGAATCTAAAAGCTAAGAATTTGGCGTGAGGTGCCAAATGGAGGTCTTGGCATCCGAGGTCAGCACACACACAGCCACCCTCACGCTCTCAGGGACTGGCCGACTGGCCTGCTCAGCGCCCAGGGCATGCAGAGCCCTGCACGCGCTGCTCCTGCCTGCCGTCCTCTGAGCCCACCTGGTGGCTCTGATGTCACACCATTATGTCTCCTTCCAACCCCACTCTCCACAGGTGCCCCCAGTGTTACAGGGTCTCAGGAACACGCAATCCATCCCCGCTGTGACTGACATTTACCGACGTGATACTCGACCTGCCTGTCTCACCACTGACGGCTAAGTTCACCAGAGGGACGCGTGCCGTGGGCTGCTCCACTGCCCGCAGACGGCCTGGCACGTGTACTGGGTGAACATACTCAAAAAATATCGGGCAGTGACTGAACATCTCATGGACAGAGACAAAAAGGAAAGGGAAAATGATTGCTCCTTGACCTTTAGGTACACGGAAGGTTTTCCAGAAATATGGGTTACACCAGAGCGTGAGAAGCAAAGTCATCCAACTGTATACCAGGTGGATTTTCAAACGGTACTCATGATGGGTATTAACTGTAGGGAACAGGTTTAGATTCCTAATTATGCTGATTTTTACAGATATATTTTCATGCTTAAAAAGTTATTTGAAACCAGGAACCCTTGTTTTTAGTTTGTAGACGGCTCACCTGTGGACAGGCAGAGCACACAGGTTTAGACCCCCCACGAAGCACTTAGAGCACACGTTAAAGATGGGAATCTCCTTTCTGCCTATGGCAGTGGTTATTCCAGATGTGGGAGAACAGGGAGCATTCCCTTTTTGAAAAAGGGGATCCCCTTGCTCTGTGGCAGGAGCAGGGGTGTCCCACGTGGCTGCTGGGCCCGCCAGGCCCAGGCAGCTCTGGTCAGCATGGCCCTCAGTCCCAACCAAAGCTGGACAGTTTTCCTGAGGTTTCCTAGGCCGGAATTTTTATCAGTACTCAGCTTTCTCGAGTCCTAACAAACCCTCACCTAGCAGACTGAAGGAGAACAGGGGTGACAGAGGGGAAGATAGAAAGCAGGTATTAGCAGAAAGTTCTGTGAAGTTACACCAAAAAGGGAAACAAATTTTTAAACATAAAGATAAGGAAAAATGAGCATAATTATGGTTCTAGTTAAAGGAAGAATGTCAGTTCAGGTGCTTAGGTCACAGAATAGTCATCATTTGCCCCCTTGCAACCCAGAAGACTAGCTTAAATGTTTCACATTTTCATCCCCAATCATGACGGATGGTTGATAACATCCCAGCATGCCAAGAGAATAGCTAAAGGGACAAGCTCTTTTAATTTTCATTAAAAAATTCACCGGAGGCAGCCAAAGGTCAAGAAACAGCACCTACAAATGGAATTTCACAAGAAACTAGAATTTTTTACAAGTGAATCGTATTTGCAGTGATGTGCCAATAGGGGAGACCCAATCCTGTGAGCCACAAGAACGAGAACAAGTCCCTCTCCTCACCTCCCAACCCAGCGGTGTCGCACGAGCACACATCTTGTCTGTAGAAGAGAAATGCAGTCAAGAGTGAAAGTGAAGTGCTACCCTTCACTCCATTGCCTATTCTGATCTCACCTCCTCCTCTAAAACCCCTCTTAAAAGGCAAAGTCAGTTTTAGAACCTGGGAGCCCAAACGGAAAGGCCAATTTCTGAGCCTTATTTACATACACATTTCACCTGAAAAGCTTTACACCAACACTTAAATCTGACCCGATGAAGATGAATAAAACTGGAGAGAAAATAATACATATATCTCAAATGAATGGATTTCCACATTAAGTAGGATTCTGACTTAAATTTCCCATATAACCGATTCCAAACGCAAACGCTTCTGAGCAGAACTCTTAACCGAGATACTCATCTTGTTAGTGTGAATGACAGAATCTGAAAGATCAACAAGCACTTTCAGGATCTTCTTCCTCCCTAATACTTCATTTTCAGCCTGAGAACACCACAGGCCTCAGTTTAAGTCACCTCCTGGGTCTGGCCATGTGAAGTGAGGCCGCCAGCCCCTTGCTGTGCCGGGTGAGAGCACCAGCTGCACAAGGCACCAGGCCCAGGCTGCGCAGGGATGGAGTGTGGTTCTCATGTTGCCATCTTAGGACGGAAGAGTGCTGAAGGACACAGCCAGAAAATACAGCAGCATTTTTTTTGTACATAGAACCACCTTTTTCAATTTAGTAAGCCAGCTTCCCTGAAACTCTAAGCATCTATTTCTGGTGATACGCCAGCAGAAAACAAGAGTCATGGTTACATAACCTCTTCATGTTTATTCATTGAAAAACATGAACAAGAGCCCCTTCGCCATATATAACCTGGAGACGCCGGCCGTGATAATGGCATGCGTGTCTGGGAAAGCCTCACTTTCCCCATTTCCAGTACTGCGATCATTTTCACCATTATTTATTTAGCTCTCACTGGGTCGCCAACAGCACACATGAGCTAGGTCTGACAACTGTATGTCCCTCCCAGCTGCACTTTACCAGATAACTGGTGTTTCTCCAACCACGCCAACAGAATTCCCTGCTTTTTAAAGGACTCAACACTATGCGATTCCAATGCACCAGTGAAATTAAATTTAAAAACCTTAAAACCTGGACTTAATCCAGTGAGCGCTGCACTGCTGAGTCTGTAATTGGAATCACTGCGGCATGAAGCCCATATGTAGATGGAGACCCCAGTACTGGGAGCATGAGCGTGGGGCTCTGCACCGCGGCAGCTGGAGTCAGAGACGAGGCTCGCCGTGGGCCCGGGTTTTATGCGAAGCAGCTCCGTGGAGCACTGAGCAAGCGCCCAGTGCTGGGCCTAGGAGAATCGTCACCACGCACCCAGTGCTGGGCCTAGGAGAATCGTAGCTAAAAATCTAGGGGGCCAAATGTCTGTAGATTGGCTCAGTGCAAAAGGCCAAAGAAAGGCATCCATTTCCGATACAAGAAACCTGATGTTCCAGATGCCTCGCTGAACGCAGCCTGAGCCAAAAAGACACAGCCAAAAAATGCAGCCTGAGCCAACTACCCCTACCAAATCTGCTTCATCTTCATGATTCCTGCAGGGCTCGGCCCGCCCTGTCACCAAGTGCCTCCCTCCCACCCGCACTCAGCCAGCACCGCCCACTGTAACACGGACTCTCAGCTTTACAGTGACTTTCTCTTCTGGGGTTTCCTCCTTCAGAACAAAATCACTGGGCAATTTAAGTGCAAGTTCCCCCAGGCAGAGTGCTTGCCCTGCCTTCTGCTGCTCCCGCAGGCCAAGGCCTCACAGACAAGATCAGTTTCTCCAAAGCTGAGTGGCTAAAAAGCAAGGTCACCCAAAATTGCACAAGGAGCCTCTTTAGAGCAAGAGCTGGTCCCTTTTTGCCTTTCTCACAAGAACCTCACCAACCTTCCCACTAAAATGAACCAAGGGGATCGGTCGTAAAACGGGTCATGCCCGTCACTGAAGAGGTCCGATCCCTCCTCCGTGCCCGCGTCTGAGCCGGTGTCATCCACGAACGCCTCATCATCAAAATCCTCCATCTCATCTTGCTGCTCGTCGGCCAGCTCCGTGATGTCGGAATCGGCCGTGGAAAAAGTGGGGGAGGGTGTACGGTCGGCCAGGCGCTCATTCACACAGCCGTGGAAAATGGGGGAGCTAGACACCCGGTAAGAGCCGAGGGACACATCCAGGGAGAGAGGAATAGTCGGTTAAACAGGAAGCTGTAGGTGCCAACAGGACAGAACCCACCAGGAAATCAACACAGTAAAAGCAAGTGGAAAAGCAAAAGGATAAAATGAGTGTAAACCATCTGGTTCGGGTGAAAGGGAGTAAGTACTAGGCCTTGGAGTAGGAAAGCAAAGGAAACACATGAGTACAATACCCAGGTGACCCAGGTGCACGGTGTGCTGGCAAATGTTTACTCTCCAGTTCACACAAAAGATCAGCAGCCAGCCCTCAAGGAGGCACTCAGCGTCAGGTGAAATAATAAGGGCTTAAATCTTCACTTAAGATTTAATCTCCAATTCTCTCTCCATCTCAGAGCAGAAAATATATGGATGAAATGGTTATGTTTGGATAAGACATGCTTGGCCAATTCATCTCTTTTAAAAACACTACCAACAGAGTAGTGTGGAAAACTCTCACTCCATTTCTAGATAACACTAGGATGTTCAGCTCTGCCTTTTTTTTTTTTTTAATTTTGTATATTGTTTACATCATTTTTCATTTTTGCACAATGTATGCTTTTTCATCTTGGTTATAGTCCCCATACAATTCCCACCCCCCTTGTTCTGATCCTACTCCTTCCTCCCCCCGCTGTAGCGTGTCTCTGATTTTGATTTTAGCTTTCAGAAAGTTTCTAACTTTCAATTTGAATTGAAAAACAATTCAAATTCTGCAATCATTATGTTGAAAACTTATGCTTCTTGCCTTTTTACATTCCAAACCTCTAAGAACTTGATTCAACGTGGACTCACCCAGGCACTATTTATTTTCATTAAACGCAGAAGGTAATGCATACACAAGAGAGGCTTGTGTGGATTACCAAGGCGTGCAATTAATTCACCCCTGGCAAAGACTAGAGTGAGATGAATTGCTTTTAAGAAAGTAGGTCAAGTCTGACCACGGAGAGCTGCCGTCTGACAGGAAAGCTAGCCACCTGTGATTCTGAACCGTGCAAGATACCGACACAGGTTCTCTTTTTCTTATAAATCTCTAATATTCAATTGTGGGGCTTTCTGTGAATGGAGCTGAGAAGCAGGGGAGACAGTCAATTACTTTGACTGAAGTTATGAGCTTCAAAACCAACAGCATTTTGAGCAAAGCTGAAGGGAAGTAAACAGTGGTTGTGTCCGAGTGGATAAGACCATACGCTGGGTTTATACACGGGGCTTTTTATACCCTTCTTTTAACGTTTTATACTATCCACTGAGGTTGTAAACAACGAAAACGATTTATTTTTTAAAAACAAGAAATCAACCAGGCTATCCCATACCTGCCCACGAGTTTGAACCAATGGAACCGATCATAAAATGGGTCGCTGCCTGTCACCGCAGAGTCGCTGTCGTCCTGGGTGCTGGAGGCCACCTCCCCAGCCCTGTCGTACATCTCCCGCATCAGGTCCAGCCTCTGCCTGTGTGGGAAACACAGAGAGCACAGGGTTAAGGATGGGTGTGCAATGCACCTACTTTAATATTTTAGGAGATTAAAAACAAAAATAAAACTGCTCCTACCACTCCATGTTATTAAGAGAACAAAGACCAAGCGCACAGAAACCAAAAAAATCTGTATCCACAGCATGTGAGTCTGGAGACAAACCAGAGGAAGTCGGGAATGGCCACCTAAGCTCCACGGAGCCACGGGAGAAAAGCAGTTCAGTGGGGTGTCGTCTCAAACCCACTGGAGCAGTAGACACAGCTCAAGAGCTGTGGTGACTTTCTTTCTGTCACTGATCACCAGGAGGTTCAGGAGAGAAAAGGTGAATGCTTCCTGAACCCAACAAGTCTCACGAACTTATAATGTTTAAAACTTAGCACAGGGTTGATGGAGGGCAAATTTCCATGATGTGTGTGAAGCACAGAGTAGGATCCACTCACTTAAAAGGAAGTGGGTGGAAATAAGCTTCATCAGCTGCGTTCAGAAGCACCAGTGACCTTAGGGGAGTATGAGGGGGCCCAGTTGAAGGACTCACGAGTGTGTATTTCCTAAATGAAACAACTGACTTTATGGATGTTTTCATACTTGAGTTTCTCCAAAGACCAGTAATGGGTTGCTCCATTCTTCAGATCCTGGACTTCTACTGCCACCACCGTACGGGGGAAGGGCCTGTCTTCGTGAGTTTTCCCCATCTCGGAGGGAAGTAGTTCAGGAGGCAAAGGGGAGTACAAGGTGTCAGTCAGCAGCACAAACTGAAACTGCACCTAAAAGGAAAGACAGACCATCAGCAAATGCCTTTCTATTTCCAGCCAGCAGGCTACCGAAAGGGGGCACGATAATCATGCCCAATGGCACAGCCAAACATGTAATATGTGGTTAACAAATAGCCTGACAATCACTACAAAAGGGCCACTGGTATAGTAATCATAGAGAATAATCCTAACTTCAGATTAAGCTACTTATCTAGACTGCCTTCCTGGTCTGGCATGCACAATGTTTTTGTACAAGCTAAAAATCTCCAAAAGTATTTTTTGGTTGCCTGAATGAAGACATTTGCAGGATTTATACAAGAGGGTGTAAGGTAGGTCCAAGAATGCATCTCCAATCTCTTACTGATGGGAGGGGATGGACACATGTCATGGTTTTCTATCTTAAATCCAGAGGATTGCTGGGCCTCCTTAGTGTCCTAGGGGTTAAGTTTCAGAGCTGTCACCACTGCGGCCTGAATTTGATTTCTGGCCAGGGAACTAACCCACATATGGTGCAGCAGACCTCTCCTGTCTCGCCTGCTGCTCCCCTCAGCAGTGTACTTAGAGCTGCCTATTCTGCACCCTCTTTCTGTCTCTGGTGAATCCCCTCATTCTCCACACCTTTGGTGTCCACCCCAGTTCTTCTATGCAAAAAAAAAAAAAAAAAATCCAGAGGATTGCAACAGTTACTCTTGAAAGTTGTACCACAGATAAATGCTTTGTATGCACTATATGACCCATGCTTTCTCCATGGTCTGGCGCTGTGTCAGCACTTCTGATGCTCTTTCGTTCCTCACAGAATCCCTGAGGTGGGGGCAGGGGGTGCTGTCCAGGGCCGCTGGGTTTGGGAGGGTCAGCACAGCCGGGACGCTAGGATGGGACCGACTGGCTGGATACAGGGCACACGTGCTTGTCCACTACACAAACTGAATGGTGTTAAACTAACAGCAAATTGAGACTCGCAGTAACCCAGGAGAAATGATTTTCTACTAGTATGCATCTACTAATATGTTTCTCAAGCTCAGGCAGCAGTACAGCCTCCTCCTTTGTAAAATGAGCTAGAAAACATTATTTTCAAAATTTCATTTAATAAATATTTAGTTAGCACCTACTGTGTTCCAGGCACACCTACTGAGTAAAGGTACCTACGACCCGTCCCCTCCCTAACACAAAGCAGCTGAGCCGACCCCAGGCAAGGGGTGCCCAGGGTGAGAGCCATGAGGCGCTGCAGGGCTGGGCTTTGGCTCAGGCAGCCTCCCTACCTTCTTCTTGAGTTCCACGCTGATGGCGTTGGCCTCCTTCAGGTACACAGCATTGCCCCAGAGCAAGTCCCGTAATGAAGTGAACTGGTGGGACTTCCATTTCCGGAAGGCCCACTGGGCCAGCTCGAATTCATGCTGTGTCCAAGGAACTGGAAGAGCAACGGGCAAAGTCAGGGGGGCCTCTCCCTGCGCCGCTTACACCTGCTTCTCTCACGATGCTTATCAAGTTTTCCAGTTTTTCTCCATTCAGCTGCTTTTGTATTTCTTATTTTCAGGAAAGCTTACTAAATTCTGTTGCTTTATGAAAGAAGCATATGCATTTCAAAAAACCTAAAAATCCCATTCATTTAAAATAGTAATCCCATTCATTTAAAAATCTTCTGGTGAAAGATCTATTTTGACCACGGGGTTTAATGAACATCCCCAATGTGTAGTACTTCATATGTATCTACTTTTTCTTTCTAGTACAGGGAAAAAAGCCATAGATCACCCAGACATTTAAAAGCAAAGAATTTAGTACATCAATCAAGAGTCTTCAAAGGTAATCTGAAGCCTCGGGATCACTCACAGAGGTGAGAGGCTAAGTGCATTGTGACGATGAACATACTATATTATAAGGCAGTGACTAAAAATAAAGACCCCAATTCAGCTACAAAATTCGGGGAAACCTAAGATAAATAGGGGTGATTAAGTACGGTGATTAGAAATCTACTGGAAATTACTTTAATGTGCAGTAATGTACCTCAAAGTCCTCACTGGGAAATCTTGACATAGACCATAAACCAGGAAATAGAACAGAACACCGTAACAGGTGTTAAGCTCTGGGTTCACCTGCACCGTGAAATGAAGCCCCGTGTGCAGTCAGGGTGAGAAAGCACAAGCTACATCCAGACCCGGCTGCTGAGGGGAGCCCAGAGCACCAGTCCCACCTTGGAGACTGCAGCCTGGATTTTCGGCACTGAACATCTCTCAGCTCAACTTTAAAGAGGCTCAGTAAGAGGTCACTAAACGGCAGGGTCAGCTAAGATCAACCCCAGCTGTGGTCCCAGTAGGAGGCCTGATCAGCTCCTGGGATCTGACATCTCATCTCCACGTCACCTTCCTCCTCCTCCTCTTCCTCTTCGGTCGTTTCTGCGGCCAGGGACCGGGTCTCCACCTGCTTCTGCAAGGCCTGCAGTTTGCTCTCATAGTCCTGGGTGGAGAGAAAGGAGATCACATGTAGGAGAGAGAGGAAATAAAAGGGGAGGAAAAGAGAAATGAAAGGAGTCCTGGGGAAAATGCAGAAAACAAAAGATGAAAGGAGAGAGAGTCCAGAAATAACCATGAAAAGACAGACACACAGAGGAATTCTAGGGGAAAAAAGCACACAAGACAGTCTGTACTGGACAAACGCTAAGAACAAAAATTTACTGGAGTCTCCTTTACTCCCTTTGACGAGAGTTCTTTGAGGTTGCAGTCGAGAAAGTGGGGGTTATTTTGAGGGCCATGCATGGACCCCCACATGCTAAAATGCATTTAAGCAGCGGCTGACACATCAAGAAATTCCAGGGAAAGACAACACTGGGAAACACCTGAGTTCACAAGTGTTGCCAATAGTTCCAATTAGCTCTTCGGATGGAAAAAAGTTAGGATTGTAATTCCTGAAGCTCCCTATGGATGAAATAATACCACCTTCTAGCAGTAGGGTGAGTTTAGCCTCCAGGTAGTGAAAAGAAGACTGTGGCACTGCTAGGGGTGAAATGATCTATGGATGCATTTAATTACTCAAGAAAGACTCTATTTAAAAATACTATTTAAGGGCCTCCCTGGTGGTGCAGCAGGTTGAGCTCAGCGCTGTGAAGCTGTCTGCAGCCTCTGCAGCACTGGTTCGATTTCCAGACGGCCAGGGAGATACCCACATGGCGCGGCAGGCCTCTCCTGTCTCACCCGCTGTTCCCCTCAGCAGTGTTCTCGGTTCATCTGCCTGCTCTGCTCCCCGCTATGTCTCTGGTGAATCCTTCCACCCTCTCGCACCTCTGGCCTGTACCCCAGCTCCTGTATAAATACATAAAACCTTTTAAAAATACTATTTTAATATAAATAAAATGCATCCCCCATTTCTCCACCTACTCCATACATTCTCAATGCGGGCACCATCGCTCCAAAGGCAAAAAAAAAGTTTTTGTGGAATTAAAAGAAAGGTACCCTTTATATACACAAAGCACAAATATACAGAGAATGTACAAATATACCATATTTGATTTACTCAAATTTTATGGGAGGGAGAGATTAAAGGAAAAAGGGTCTAAAAAGGTTCCCCGTGTTAATGAAAAGAAGCTTGCATTTCTTTGAAAATAAAGCAAGAAGAGAAAATGCACACATTGTGCAAAAATGAAAAATGATGTAAAATATATAAAAGAAGAAAGAAATGAAAAGAAAACAAGAGGAGTTAAGAAAAGAGAACTTCACATAATAAAAGCTCATCACAGCACAAGCAGAACATTTTGAAATATATTGTCCAGATTTCCTGCTTCCTTGGGAGTGACCCAGCTACAGGTTGTCACGAGACAGAAGGGTTAGTATGACCATGGATGGTTTTCAAACAGAGGTCTCCAAGCCACAAAGCAAGTATTCCCTGCATCCCAGAGGACACCGACCTCCCCCCGCCCCCATCTCCCATTAAGGCCACCCCACACTGAGCTCTCAATGGCAATGCTAAGAAGTGCAAAGAACCACAAGGCTCCAGGCATTTGGCATTTAGTCTCTGTTCTGGAGGGAGCTGGCAGTGATGGGGAGCCGACCACAGTTTCATTATTATATATCTTAACTGCTTTTTAGGAGACTAATTACTATGACAAAAAAGAAAGAAAGATTCAGGATGAGGTCCTGGTACTTGCTCTTACTAGTCTTATAATTCTGGAGACTAATTACTATGACAAAAAAGAAAGAAAGATTCAGGATGAGGTCCTGGTACTTGCTCTTACTAGTCTTATAATTCTGGAGAAGTTAAATCCTCTTTAAACTTCATTATCTCCTTTACAACAAAGATTTTAGGGCCTCCCTGGTGGGCTAGGGGATAAGTCTCAGCGCTATCACCTTGAAGGCCTGAGTTCGATCCCCCCGGCCAGGGAGCTGACCCACATGGTGCAGCAGACCTTTCCTGTCTCGCCCGCTGCTCCCCTCAGTCTGCCTGTTCTGTTCCCCGCTCTGTTTCTGGTGATTCCTCTCACCCTCTCGCACATCTGGCCTGTACCCCGGTTCTTGTATAAATAAATAAATCTTTTTTAAAAAAATGCTGGCACAGTTGCATGAAAGGTGGACGGAAAGCAGAATAGTCACAGAATCCAAGTGCCACCCAGACCTATTAATGAGGAGAAAGAGCTGAGAAACATCGTATTAGCTAAATGTATTCAACTGTGTCATCAAGATAGGGACATAGTGGGCCTCCCCTGGTGGCGCAGCGGCTGAGCGCTGGGCTGCGAAACTGCCTCTGCAGTGCCAGTTCAATCCCCAGCCGCCAGCGAGGGTCCCACATGGCACGCAGACTTCTCCTGCTGCCCGCTGCTCCTCTCAGCAGTGTACTTCGTCGGTCAGTCTGTTCTGTTCCCTGCTCTGGCTCTGGTGAATTCTCTCACCCTCCCGCGCTTCTGACTGTACCCAGTGCTTGTATAAATAAATAAATAAATCTTTAAAAAAAAAGTTTAAAAAAAAAAGGGACATAGTGACACTTGTATGTCCTAGATGATGCAATGTGGAGCTCACCGAAATGCCTCTCCAACATTCTTACCACAAAACCGATCCCAGATCTAATCTTGAGGAAATCATCAGACAAATGAGAATGTGGCCTGGGCTCTTCAAAGACACCAGAGTAATAAAAGATAGAAGCAGCACAATGCAACATACAACCCCCACTGGATCCTGGACCCACACGCACGTACCTTAACATTTATACTTCTTAGACACTCAGAGGACTTAGAAAATGGACTGTATTTTTAGGACCTTCAGCAACTTTGTTAGGTTTACCTCTAGGTATTTAATATTTTGGGATGTGGTTGTAAACAGGACCATTTTCTAAATTTCTTCTTCTTCCAGATCATTGTCTGCATACAGGAACAGACTATACATTAATGATATGAAATCAGTATTAAGTTTCTGGATTGGGTGGTACTCAGAGAATCTCGATTTTAGGAGATACACAGAGAAGTATTTAGGGGTAAACTGTCAACACTGCTACTTATATTCAAACGATCCAGAAAAAAACATAAATATTTGTACACAGGAGTTCGTTATACCCGTTTCTTTTTTTTTCTTTTCTTTTTTTTTTTTTAGCCTCTCTGTAAGTTTGAAATGTTTGATAGTAAAAGGCCAGGGAGGGGAGAGTTCCTTCTCCCCACTATGGCCAATATATTACACGGGATCTGTTTAGCACAAAGAGGAAAACGGTTGGTTCACCTAAAAATGATCAAGTGGAAAATGTTAGTATTTCATCTTAAGGATTTTTCCTGCTTTATTTTTTTCCCCCAGTTAAAAAAAATATATTCAAATACACATGGTATTTAGCATCTTAACCATATTTAAGCGTTCAGTTCAGAGGCAAGAAATGCATTTGTACATCAACATCACCATTCACCTGCAAGACTCTCCTCATCCTGTGAAACTCAACTGCACTTCACAGCCCCGACCCCTCCCAACCCTCCCATCTTGACCTCCCTTCTCCTTCCTATCTGCCATGCTGAGATCTGAGCATCTCCCATTAGTGGGACCCTATGGTTCTGGTTCTTGTGACTGGCTTATTTTTGAGAATTCCTTTAAGAACAGGCCTACAAGCTGGTCTAACTACCAAGGAAAACAATGTCCTTGAATTCGGAGAGTGATGTAAGAGACAGGAAAGCTGACATAAAAGATTTCCCACAGTGCCATGGGCCTAAAACTGTATTTTCCAGGGAAAATTTCTCTCAGCAGTGGGTACCCCAAATATCAACACCATTTCTTGAACGGAACCCTCCTCCCTAAACCCGGCTGTCTATGAGCTTCCAACCAGGACATTCTGCACGTCGCCAGAAAGAGCTAAGAGCTGAATCTTCCTACCACAAATGGATAGAGGTTCAGGTACTACTTTTTTATTTCATGGTGAAAATTAGAGTAATTATGGAAAGCACACTAAAAATAATGTATTTATAAGTAGCCCTTGTGCTTTTAAAAAGTTCTAACTAGTTCAATAGATGCTCTTGAACGTTTTCTTCACTACACTGCCTACCTCCCATTATTTTCACTGTCTCCTCTCCTTTCTGCTTGAACTCCCCATAGTGAGATTCTTATCCCTCACCACGGGAGCCGCTGTTACCAGGACCGCCTAAATGCTCGCCACAGTGACAAATCCAGGGCGTTTGCTCCGTCCTCACCTTACTAAATCCGTTCCCACTGACACAGCTGCTGACTCGACTTGTTTCTTGGGGCACTCTGTTCTGATGTCCTTCAGCTTCCAGGCAGTGCTCCTATGTGGTCTCTCGGCCACAGACCTGTATGGCCACAGCCCCAGGTGAGCTGGTGCGTCTCGTGGCTTTACTTGCATGTTCTCCCAGGTGATGGTGACGGGGACAGGTGTGCTGCGCATTCACTCACAGCAATAAATCTTTCCCATGGACTAGCCCATAGTCCTCACAGGCCCCCACAGCAGGCATTGTTACTCCCATGTCACACCTTCCAGAGTCACAGCTGCTTCGTGAACCCAGGCCCATCGCAAACAGCTGCCTGCCCCTTGGCCGGCTCTCAGCTTATGGTCTCCAGCCTGATGACCCGGCCTCATATACAACCCTGTCCGTCCCTTTGCGTGTTGTTTATGGTGATGTTTTTCCTAGTGATACAAAAGCTGAGTTGAGTCGCTGCATCAGAGACCACATGGTCCACCAAGCCTAAAATATGTGCTATCTGGCCCTCCTAAGGCAGGTACCCGGGGTGTGTGTGCAGCCGTCTTGGTTCTCATGAGCGCCCCCAGGGGACGCTGGTGCACACTGCAATTGAGAAGAGCTCTATGGATTTGTGTGCAGAGGAAGAGTGGACGTCAACAATAAGGTCCTTATTCTAAGTTCTCTTGGAAGCCCCAAACAACTACAAAGATAAGATACCAGCTATCGTTATTGGAACAGTGACTGACCCAGGGCCGGCTGGAACAGGTAAAGTGCCGCCTGAGTGAAGATCTGGAAGTAACAAGCA